TGATTAATTAGTTGAAATATTGTGTATGTATGGGACATGAATAATATAAAAATGTATTTATTCTTAATTTCTTTGAAAATATTTGAATTACTACTGCACATATGACCAGGTCGCAAAGAGGTAACGACCCATGAAAAATGTGATATAGCTGCCAGTATGACGCTAGATTATTATTACTATTATTTATGCTATATCCATATCCTGAACAGGGTATATTAAGTTTGCCACGATATTTGTAACCCCGAAAGAAAAATAATATATATATATAATATATATCTGAATGATCAGCATGACGAGCTGAGTCGATTTAGCTATGTCCGTCCATCAGTATGTACCATACTTGTATATGATACATGCGAAATACTCCTTCAGTTTTTGAGATATCGTTCTGAAATTAGGCATCATCTTTCTCCAACTGCTCATGTGTCGAAACGGCCAATATCGAATCTCTATAGCATATTTGTAGCAATAAACGATCGGAATCAAGTGAATATACGGCAAACCTTTTCATTTGACGAAATACTTCACAAAATTTGGCATGGATTTTTTTCCAAAGCAAGGTTACAATCTCCGAAAAAATTGTACAGATCGGATCACTATAGCATATGGCTGCCATAGAAACTGAACGATCACATTCAAGTTCTTTTAAGCAATATTTCGTATTTGTATTGTGTATTGATGGGTATTATAGCTTGAGTGTAACCAAAGTTAACGTTTTTTCTCACGTTTCATTGGAAATAATTATGATTTTTATGATGATTACTTTCGCGATGCTTTTTATCATGAAAACTTCAAAATGTAGCTTGAGGATGTACACACAGACGTTAAGAAGACACCAATTTCGTTAAATATGATTTTTAGCTAGCAGTCATCTTTCCAATATTTTGTACACCCTCCGGTGGTGATAGTTTTATCAATTTCGGTCACAACCAACCGCCACCTGGTTGTATGCTTTCAGAGCTCCAGAGAGTACATCCATTTGGGCAAAGCCGTTCTGAACAATGTTGTGATCGATGAATGATCTTTCCCAAATAGTTTCAAGAAAAACCCAAAACGATTCTATATTTTTTGATCGAAAAAAAGCCTAGTGTTCTTGCTGTAATCGTAGGCGCACTTACTGGTCATTGTCCAAAAGGCGTGCATGCGGTGAGGCGAAAATTTTGTCGTACGTGAAAATTGTATGGAAGTAGGTCAGGTTGAAACATTCAGAATTTTCAGCCTCCATTGTCCAGCTTTTGTAATACTGAAGTTGATACATACATCTTGGCAGCCACACCTTCAACAAAATTGGCGAAAGAGCCGCAATTGATGACAGCCATTTTTAAAAGTCTTTTCAATCAATACTTAGGAGATTTCATTATGGACCGGTGTTCTCATGTTCTGTGATAATCTTGTCCTACTTCAAAATTAGAACCCTACACTCGTATTCGCCTTTTTTAAATTAGACTAGATCTGTAAGATTTTTTTCCGTAGCTCAAATTAATTTCTCAAATATCAATTTCAATTCAGCAGCAATATCGTCGAAGATTTCAATGTTGATTCACTTGCCTCAAAATTTCTGCTACCAAGTAATTTTATTGCGTTTCAAACCCTGAAATGGAGCTTATTATTATTAATAAAACATTAAATGAATTTATCTATTAGCACTAACAAAAAAAAATTATTTTATAACTATTTGAGAATCTAGAGACTCAACGAAAGGCGCTTAATCGAAAAATTGATTAAAGGGATATCCAAGTACAGTGAACTACCACACACTAGATACTAAATAATTTTACGGTTGTCAACTACAGCAGCGCTTTGTATGAGCGTTTACTCGCATCAAAGCATAAAAGCACACATCAACACATTCGTATATATAAATGTTAATATAAACAAATTCCCACTAAAGTGCTTGAGCAGCGCTAAGAATGCAAATCTCTGCACTCCGTTTAGATTAACTTTACTAAAAAGGGTATTAATCTCTCACATAACAAACCATTGCGAATGTTATTAAAATTCAACAACAACAAAGGTGTTACAGAAAAAACGAAGAAAATAAAAATATTTGTGCAGACGCTTTCACTTGGTTTTTAATACCATCAAAAGTTAATAGCTTAATTATACGCTAAAATCATTACAAACGCACATACACAAGTTTGCATGTATAAGTATTGGTGTGACTAATCTTATGAATGCGGTGGATAGTTTGCTTTTGTAAACATAACCCAACGTTGCGAAAGTACTTGTATAAATTTAATCAAATCACGGAGAGCCGAATCAATGCTATGGAGTGGTTGTAGCAGTTCGAACGTTTCGATTCCTCGGTGTCTCTGCGAGCCTCTAATCTTTCTTTGCATATCGGCTTCCCTTATTATAATTGTTTCTAACATAGTCGATATTTTTGTTTACTGGGTTACTTTAAATTATTTTACAGCACGCAAAGATTATAATGAAAACAATAAAATAAAAATCATAATCCATTTCTATTCTAGCATTCAGCAATTAAAAAGTGTAAAACAAGCGCATTGCTGAAAGGCTTAATATTCTCATCAAGTCTTCTCACTTGCTGATGCCAATCAAAATGTCTCGCGATGCGATAAAACGAGTCGCCCTTAAGTGTTTAAGAATTACATATTTTCGCGTTGAATGGGATAAGGCAGCGAATAGCTCTGGGTTGGGTGGCAAATTAGAGAAATACTAAAAAAAAACGATTTAACCCTTTTGCGATCACTTTGGTCGGTATGACACTGTTCTAGTGGTAATATTTTTTAATTATTATACTTATGAAAGCTACCAAGTTAAGCGCGCATAAACTTTGTTTAGGTACAATTCCCTCACATGTTTTTGAACCCGCTCAGCGCTGATTCTAGACGCTTAGGTCAAGAACTTGAAATTATTTTTTAAGAATTAAAGGTTCGAAATGGTGGGTAGATAGTGTGGATGTATGTACCTTAAAGAATTTCAGAAAAGAATATAAAAATTTAGAGACTTTATAGTTTTCATAAAAAAACATGAAATCAAAATATATTAAAAAATTGGAACTAAATTTTTTAAATGGACTTGCATAAAAAAATATATAGAAATGCTGTCAGATTTTTAGTGATTTGGATATAACAACCCAGCATTTCATTAAAAATTTTCATTCTATATATGACCTCGTTTTTTTCTTATGTTAACCAAATTTTTTGTTTTTTGTCCAGCATATACTACCCTACACTTTCTACTAAAAAAAAATTTACCTTTAATTTAAAAAATTGTTCTATGTTTTTATTTTAACTTTTAATTAAAAAAAAATTTTTTTCATTTTTATTTTTATTTTTTAATTGCAAAATCTGAAGCTACTTTACATTTGCTACTTAAAAAATGTACTGTATTTTTTTTATATATTTTTTCAAGTGAAAAGGCTAAAGTTGTATTCATTTGAACTATGCAAAACTATGAGTTATTTTATTACTTTATTACAAATATTTTACTTTTAATGCTGCATGTAATTTTTAATGGCAATGCCACTCATAAATCAGCCTCAACGAAATGCAATATGATACGCATTTTACACGTAACAGACCCTTGAGCCTACTAGCTGCTTGCCTGCTGGCAGAGAGGAGTCGGTAGTCTGAATGTATATGCGTGTATACAATATATATATATATATATATATATATATATAAGTATATACATTTGCATTTGCGTATATTTATGTAGAAATATGTGCGTAGTGAAGCAGCATAGTTCTTTGACGGTTGAGTTGCGGTATAACTAGGACCAATCGCTAGTGGATCTCGCCAACATACAAAGGTTGAATGAAGCAGAAGCAGATGTCTTTCAACCATAATGAGATTAGTTCTAAAGAAAGTTAGTATGTTTCTATATTTAAGATTCAAAGGTTAATTAGTTGTGCTAGATGAGCCATTTTAATGTTAAGTAGCGCTGCAATGTCTGAGAGACACTTAAAATCGCGCCAATTTGGCAGAAATAGAACCGATTAATATGAAAGAAAGGCTACCCAAAACAACTTCCATGAAGATGCGTTGACAAAGACGAGAAAAGTGCGATTATTATGCCAGAGTTTAGCATTTTATACTCTACAATACATGAATATTTAGCTTTAAGATTGGGTAGGAATCTCAAGTAATTGGGTAATCCTTTCTCATAAGCAGCCCAGTTCCTTGACGTGCTCCATCAAACCTTAGTAAGATATTTTTTTTTCAGCCACAGCATTCACTATTTCAGAATTTTTCTTAACTGCGTTACCCAACTAAATCTTTTAAAAAAATTTAGTTTAAAATCAAATTTCAAATACTAAAACAAAAACAAAAACTTGCTAATATAAGTAAAGCAGTTAGAAAATGAACAACACAAAACTAATATTTCAAATCAAAGCTAAGTAAAAATCCTATTCGAAGAACAGCAACAATTACGAATGATATCAGGCAATAGATAGACATTATGTTTGGCAATAAATTACAGTGTCGTCTTCGTGCTCGCTACATAGGGAATACGATAAGCTGTAGTACAGTAAGTACACACACACACACAACTGCACAACTAAACAGTTTCTATATAGTATACAGCAAATGCCAATCAAAACAGCGCAAGTATATATTTACTGCAATAATTGCCCGTGAGTAGGAAGCAAAATCACCGCCGAAGCACACACATGCACACATACAAACACATTTATTTACACACATACTCGTAGACACATACAAACACATTTATTTATTTATGTTTTCCAATAGTTAGGGCGTCTGCCAGTCGCTTTGTAGGCGATATAAATCATTTGATTGGCAATAAGTTGCCGACAAAGTGTTATATTCCCATTGCCACTGCCAGGGCAATAATGGCAAATAAAGTTTGATTGTGTAGCATGCTAGTCTGTACAACATGTGTGTCTATGTTGGTGCATTAAAAGATTGAGCGTTCAATTTTTTAAGAGGAAAAACGTCAAATAATCTCAGTTTTGTGTGAAAAAGCGGGAAGAAAAGATTGGAATCATGTTTCTTCTTAAGTTTACTTACTTTGTTGCTTATCGTTCAATAAATTGTGGTTCCATAAACTCTGCATCACGTATACTCTTGGCTTGCAGCTTCCATTTAGATTATCATAAATAACGCTGAAAGCGTGTTTAGTCGTTTCGGATATTAAAATAACGAGATTACATTATTTGGTTATTCACATCTACTGATTTGACTCTCGCTGACTGTTAGCAAACAGTCTTTGGATCATTGACGAGTCCAAGGCAAACAATCGCGCTAACGCCAACATTATACCTGCTGAGTTGCTCGCGAAGGGAAGGAAAGAGCTGGAAAAAAGAATAGACAAAAAAAAACATTTAGCTGTGGCCAATAAAAGACTTCACATGATTGATTTTATATTAAAAAAATATCTGAAAAATAGTCTTTCTGAACCTAGACAATTTTTATAAAGCCCTGAGATTGTCTTACTCAATGTTACAATGCTTTAGAAAAGAGAAACACACAAGCTTTAATATGTTTTAGAAATACTAAAAAATTTTTTTTGTAAAGCATTATTTGGTTCTCAATATTTTTTTATAATATCTTTTTTCTAAGCAAACACTTCGCAAGCCTATTAAAAATATTCCTAAATAGTTTTCTAAAAACAAGAACACAAAATTGTAGTACTTTGGTTAAAATTCATCTGTAAATTAATAGACTGATATTAGTTGAATATAGAATAAAATGAATAAAATCTAGTTTTTGTAGTTACCAACTGGATCTTCAAGCCAGCATTATATTCAGAAAATTATAAAATAATTTTTAAATTTTTTGTAAACAAATTTTCTACAAGCTGCTTTTATTTTTATCTATCTGGCTCGTTTGGTCTGCAGCACAATTTTCGCTTACCATTCTTAAACCTGTGAATGTGCGAGAAAGTCTGAAAAGCATAGAAAAGACTTAAGCTACGAACTTGTACTCAATATGAACATTTGAACAGCAACAAAAGACTTAAGTGACAAACTTGGTTTTTGTTGCCTTCAGCAAAGGCATAGAAAGCATCATTTATTTGCTTTAGCTCAACAAGTCGATATATATCACAAAATGAGTAGGACTCTGCTTTCGTTTCAAGCATAATATTTTATGACTCAATGCTTAACTGACGAACGGCCGATTGAATGAATTCCGAATAAAATAAATATTATTTAAGTAATAAATCGAAATAACTTTTGCTACTTAGAAACGGTTAAGAGCAAAGAGAGAATCGAAAAAGTGAAAAATATTGGCAGTGAACGCGCCTTACTTCCAGTTGTCGACTGCAGCATGCGGCGTAAATATTTTTACAGTTAGCTAAACTGCATTTTTAAATCATATAAACAAAGCGCACACACATATATACACATACATGCTTTCTTTTTGTTTTGGAAGTATCTTATTTCAAGCAGACGCCGCACGTAAGGCAATTCATGTGTGAGCAAACAGCCGACGAGGAAATAATTTATATACAAATACGTGTGCGTGTAAACAAGTATGTGCATAAAAGACAAATTGTGCTTGTAATTGGGTATTTGTGCTAGTGTGATTATGTTCCGCCGTTTTGCATTGCTGCCGGCGTAAACGCTGTAATCACCATTTCACCGTTTGATGAGTTTTCAATTTCAGTACGTCGCGCTGCGAAAACTAACACACACGTACACACCGAAGCAGCAGTTGTAAGGCATTTAGTTTGCTACTAGCGGTTAAGCAGTGCGTAGCGGTAGTTATGCGTAGAAATGCGCAAGTCAGTCTGACGGCAGTGAAGAGTGAGTGTGGATGGCTGCGGTGGGCAGGCGCGACGCTCGACATGCAAATCAACGCAGCTAATGGGTGGCTAACTCCACACTGGCGGCCTACTAGCTCGTTGTGCGCAATTGGTTAACTGTTAATTGTGCTGTTCACTGCTGCTGTTGCTGTTGTTGTTGGTGCCGGAGCCGCCAATTAAGTTTATGTACCGTTCTGCAACTACTGTTGCTGTCTGCACTTGAAGATGCCTTGCGCTAATTGATTTTTTCCATAGCGTTTACATTACTCGTCGCGGTGGCGGCGACGGTGCAGCAACAACACTTCTTGTTGCCTAAAGGTGTACATATTTTCACATTTATCGAAGGCAAAAGAAATCGCCGCAATACTTCCTGTTTCATGTCCAGCGGCCATTTTTATGGCAACTTAAAACTTTCCCATTACGCAGCGCTTAAAAGTTTACCGTGTGTTCATAAAAAATTTAATATATTTTTTAATATTTCAGCATAGAATATGCTGTGTACTTACAACGAGCGTTTAGTAGTCATGAGACGCACTACTGGTTGATTGAATATAATTTGATAATTATTTTAAACGCCGTGTTTTTCATAAATATAAATATTTTATTTGGCGGAAAATATTGGTTTAATTAATTGTGATGGCTCATTGACGCTAGTAAAATATTAATTTTAAATAGTTAAATAAAACTTGTGAGGTAAATCAATTAAATTTAGTTCCGTAGTAACTAGGAATTTTAAAAAAAGAAATTGGCAGTTTGTAAAATTTTCTTACGAGGCTGTAAAAGTAACTATTTTCTAATGTAATGCTAGCTAGAAGTTCTACAGTTGACTTTAGTATACACTCGTACATTTGCTACATATTAACTCTTTACAAAGCATTCACTCAAAACCAATCTACTTTTGATTTTGTCACTTAAGTCTTTAATTTGAAAAAAGAAAACCCGAAATAGCCAGCCAGTGGTTTTAACTCATCTCAGTGGCTCTTGCCTTCATTTGCTACCAGTGTTGTAAATAAAGCATTAAAAAGGGTTTCTACCGTTTTTTCTAGTTTTTTTTTTTTTCTCGGAAAGTATAATAATTAAAAGCATGAAATTTTCGCACAGTTGTTGGAAAAAAATGTATTGGAGCTTTAGAAATTTTTTTGTTTTTAGTTCAAGTAAAGGGGGATATCGTCTTCATTGTGGAAGTCCTAGCAGTCATAGATAAAACTAAAACACAAACAAAAAATATTTTATTAATCTGTACACTTTTCCGTAACCGTAGTACTATAACGAAAGAGAAAATGCCAAACTATGGGCTTTTGAAAAAAAATCGATTTTGGGCATTTTTTGTAAATAAACAATTTTCAATATTTTTGGCAAATTCTAGTACCACACATGCATAAACTCTTGATAGATATGTGTGAAAAATTTCATGGTGATTGCTCAGTTTTTGGGCCCTGTTAGACTTCCACCCACTAGAAAAATGTGATTTTGAGAGAAACGCGTTTTCGTCAGGCCGCGGCCAACCAGCGCTTGACAACACTCCACCACAACGGCTGATAACTTTCGTAATTTAACAGATTACAACTCGAAATTTTCAAAGCGAAGTTTTGAAACATGTAGGAATGTGTTCAATGTGCAAACAAACATTTTTTTTTGATCTCACAAGGTAGAAACCATCCTTAAAAATATAGTTGAACTAATATTTAAAATAAATTTTTTTTTGGTAATCTCTAAAATTTCAAATAAAAATTATTAAAAATTTCTAATTCAAAATACCGGATTCTAAAATAGCATAAAAGTAAATTTATAAACACAAAATCTGACTAAAATCTAAAATTTAAAAATTTAATCATAAATGCCAGTTTGAAAAAAAAACACATTTTTTTATTTCAGCACCAGTTTCCTAATTATCAACATGCCTGTAGTTACGATTTGCTGTCACTGCAACTACTGGCTTCATTTTTTCAAACAGAAATCCATAGCCCAAATATATGTATGATTTGGCTGCAACATAAATGTTACTAACTAATGATGCAATATTCATGTTCACTATGTAGCAGTTTTCGGTGTATCAGCTCAATTTTGGACGCCTGTTGGATTTTTCAATATTTGTGGATTACGTCAAATATTTGATCTAGATTTTGAAATACATTTTTGCTTGAGTTCAGATTTTTTTCATTTGCAAAAGTTAGTTTCTTTCTTCATACAACTATTTCACGCTGCTCCAAGTTTTCTCCTGGCTACCTACTTAGTAATCTAACCTTGGCCTTGCCTAAGAAAATTAATTGCGTGCTTATAAGATAAATCCTACTATTATATGGTTTTACAATTCGATTATTAACTACTTGGAGCTACTATATAAATAATAATATTTTTTTAATTATGCAATAAAGCTTGGATTGATTATTTTATTAACAGCACAGATTAATATATAAATATGCGCATACAAAGCTATTGCTTATAGCGAGATCTACGAGTAGGTAGTTTTTTTGGCACACACACATGTATATACACATAATAGAACCTATAACTGCCACAATACACACACAAAAACTAAATGGTTGCACAAATCTGCATACTGGCAAATAAATTTAAAAACCCACACATACCAACACACGAAAATAGATGCACTCGCTTAGCTAACTATGCAAATGAAATTCGTTTTTTATTTTTATTTCTGCCTTCTTTTCCGCCGTAATGAAATAATTCAAATTAGCAGCGACGAACATAGCAAGTGGCAGTAGCAGCAGTTTGCATTAGAATTCACAAACGTCGGCAAACGAGCTAGCAAGCTAATAGTAGCTTATATTGCATACAAGCATTGTGGCTTTTTTTTTTTTTTGTTACAACTTTTTTGATTTATCTTTTTTTTTTATTTGTTTTGAATTTTTGCTTGTCCCTTTTGTAATTAGAAAATGCTGTGTGCCTTAGACGATTGTGCAACTTGATGCGCACTTAGTTAGTTACTTAGACATACACATATATACATGCATATTTGCGGTCTAGCGCATAGTTACTAAGCTAGTGCCTTCTTCATTGCACTGATTTGCATTGCACGATTCTCAACTTAATTTAACATAAAGTAAACAACAGCAGTTAACAAGTCGAAGAAGATGTTGCTAGCCAGAGTAGAAGTTTGAGCAATAACAGCAACAAAAGTAACAATGCATGCAGGATTTAGATATATAAATTAGGAAGCGCTGGAGCGTATTTTTTGTTAAGGGTTTTCTATTTCACTTGCTGAGTAATCAAGATTGGATCAGGACTAGCGCTACTGTAATGGGTCGCTTATATCAGGTACATCTATTGCCCCTACTTAGAAGTAACCCTCAAAGAGCTCGTTACGCTGATCATTTACGATAAATACTCGTATATTATAGTGATAGATATATTATGTATATATATATTATGGGGTATCAACACATATATTATAGGGTTTATATATATATCATAGAGTATATATATAAAAGGGGATCCGACATTTTCTACTGGCTGTTATAAACTTCGTGGCAAACTTAATACACCCAGTTTAGGTTATACACCCAGAAAGACCCAAATATTCCT